CCCACCCCGTAGATAAACAAAACAGCAACTTCTTGGGGCGGGATTTTTTGGCGAATTAAGTGGACCAAAACGCTGCAGACGGACTGGGGCTGGGGCCCCGCGAAGCTGCTGCTGAGGTCCAGAAAAGTGAACCCTCTTTTGAGTTTTTTGCGGCGTTTGTAGTCTTCAATTTCCCGGGAAAACCTGTCCACTGTTGTCTGCAGCACGTGCTCCTTCAGGTGCATGTCTTGCAGCTTTTCCACGAACGATTCTGCTTCCTGCAGCGCGCTTTGCTGCTGCTGCTGCGACAGCAGCAGCAGCTGCTGCCGCGCCAGCAGCTTGAACAGCTGCAGACTTTCCCCCAGCACTTCTCGAGACCGAGACAGTTCTGCTGCAGTGCATGCGCGGCCCTCTTCCGCCAGCTGCAGCAGCAGGTCCACCTGCTGGCTGCTGGCAGCAACTTGCTGCAGCACGCCCTCCACTGCTGCGTCCGCCTGCTGCAGCGCAGCAGCAGCAGCAGCACGCAGCTCCCCCCGGTACCGCGACAGCAGCACAGACACCGGCCCGCTGCCCTCCGCCAGCAGCGAGTCCACCGTCTTCTCCAACTCCCGCAGCTTCGCCTCAAACGGACCTGCAGCAGCAGCAGCAGCAGCAGCAGCAGCAGCAGCAGCAGCAGCAGCAGCAGCAGCGGGAGCGGGAGCGGGAGCGGGAGGGGGGGAGGGAGGGGGGGAGCAGCAGCAGCGGGAGGGGGAGGGACAGGAGAGGCAGCAGCAGCAGAAGCAGCAGCAGAAGCAGCAGCAGCAGCAGCAGCAGCACAGCACAATCAACCCTCGATTTTACTATTTCTTTATTTTTGCTTCTTCTCTTTTTATTCGGCCACTTTATTTTACTTTGTTTTTAAATTTTAGTAAAATCAACTCAAAATATAAAACCCTCGTAAATGCCACATGCAAAGAGCTACAGACACACCCAAACAGCAGCAGCAGCAGCAGCAGCAGCAACAGCAACAGCAGCAGCATTGGCAGCAGCAGAAGCATTGGCAGCAGCAGCAGCAGAACCAGCGAAACAACGAGGAGACCGCCTCCGGCGCTGCAGCAGCGCCCACCCCGTGCCCCGCCGACCGCAAACCCTAAACCCTAAACCCTAAACCCTAAACCCTAAACCCTAAACCCTCGCTGACCGAACTGGTTGTTGACGAGGTCCACTGCTGCTGCTGCTCTCGCAGTGAAAAGGTCTCCCAATTTGCTGACAGCTTTTGAGTCTGCTGCTAAGCGCTGGCGAATGTGGGCCAGGCGAGCAGCAAAGAGAGTCACCGTCGTCTTGTGCCTGCAACAAACCCTAAACCCTAAACCCTAAACCCTAAACTCTAATCCCTAAACCCTGAATTCTGGGCCCGGAACAAGGAGTAAGACACGAGGAATCCGGAGAACCCTAAAACCAAACCCTAAATCTGGAAAGTACCAAACCCGAAAACCCAGAAGAATGAAACCCTAAACCCTAAACCCTAAACCCTTGAGTTGTTTATTATACATGTATGCAAATGCATGTACCTAAAAGTGAACGAGTTTAGAACATTTATTTTTATTTCAGTTTTTTAAAAACATTTTTAAATGCAAAAAAGGAAATGGAATTTTCCTCCGCTTTTTATTGCGGTGTACATAGAAAAGAAACTTTCATTTTTGCAAAAATTGAAAACATGCATGCATGCGGAAGGTCCAAATTTACGACTTTTGTGGGTTAAAGCCATTTAAATTAATTTAAAAACATTTTCCTCTTTATTTTTGAATAAAACGAAAAATGAAAAAATTTGAATTATTCATTCACGTTTCACTTGAATGCGGTGTATGTACAGCTGCGGGTGGAAGCCGCATTTAGGAGATTCCAAACGCAAAAAATACTCAAAATTCTCCAAATTGAAAATCCTTTTTAAATTTAATGTTTTTAAACTTTTAAATTTATGTTTTAGACTTCATCTTTGTCAGTTCAAGTTGTTGGGAATGCGGGGTGTACAGACACCTCAGCGGCGCAAAGTGAACGCCGCGGGGAGCCGACACAACGAGAAAATGAATTAAAAGGTAAATTAACAATCAAATAACAATAAGCATTAATTAAATTAATTAAATTAATTTAATTAATTAATTATTTCTCGAATTTACTTCTCCAGCTCTTCGTCGAGGGCCCTTTTGTCGAGCTCCAGCGCGTGCTGCCGGCGCAGCCCCCGGGTGTCTGTACGCTTTGCTGCTGCTTCCTCCAGCAGCAGCTTCTTTGCTGCTGCAGCAACAGAAGCAAGACGAGCAGCAGCAGCTTCTGCATCTGCTGCTGCGTGGTGTTCCTTGAGAGCAGCAAGCGACGGCTGGAACACAGATGGCGACGCTGCTGCTGCTGCTGCTGCTGCTGCTACTGCTGCTGCTGCTGCTGTTGCGCTGCCCCCCGCAGGCCCCGGCTCCTGCTCTGCTGCTGCTGCTGCTGCTGCTGTGGGGCCCTCAACCAGGTACAGCGTGGGGGCCCCCTCTGTCAGCAGCCTCTCATATTCAGAAGCATCAGCAGATGCTGCTGCAGTTGATTCTGCTGCTGCTGCTCCTGCTGCTGCTGCTTCTTCTTCCCAGGACTTCGTCCCTGCTGTGGACTCCCGCTCATGTTCTGTTGCTGCTGACGATTCCGTTGCTGCTGCTGCTGCTTCTTCTTCACGCTCTTCCGCGGTTGCTGCTGCTTTTGAGTCTGCTGCTGCTGCTGCTGGTGCGCCC